TGTCTATGCTGTTGAGCATGCTTATTTTTTAAATGTACATTGAGCAAAATGTAATATGATTTTATAATTTTTTATGTTATAAACAATAAAAAAACTTTCACCAAATAAAAATGTGTTTGTTTTTAAGGGGTTGCAGATTTTTGTTTCTTTTTACAAACACACAGGAACATGTGAGGCCTTGTTCAGATCATAATATGATGTCTGATGATCATGTTCAGTACACGTACTGAAGATATAAGATAGTACTGACATTTAATTGTCAAGTCAGAAAATTAAAACTGACAAGTAATTAGAGTACAATTCTAAACATGTAAAGTTTCAGTTGTTTCACAAATACTTAAAAGTTCATTCTTCTCATACGTTGTAGACATCAAATCCAGTTACATGAAGTCACACACAATCATACGCAGTACAGCGTATAGTGAAATCTATATGAATGACATTTTTCATATAGTGTAGTTCTAGACAGTTATCAATATAAAATTATTTATAGAAACCCAACAATTCCCACCATGAGCAAGCACTTGGCAACAGTGGCAACAGTGGTACATGATCCGTCCTGGATCACAATGAAAACCCATGAGTTACTTCAAAAAGCCATCTAGCCCACTAATGTACTCCTACTATTGATTTCTTGATTTAATTTGAAAATCTCCACATCTTGTCAGGTATTCCATTATCCTGATTGGATAAAGTGGGAACAGGATGACGGAAAATGTATTTTAGTGTAGAAAGCAGGGACTGGGAGACCCATGTTACTGACTGAACATGGAGCTTTTTCTAAACCTAAACCAGTAGTTTTGTTGCTTAAACATAAGGGAAGGGAAGTCACCTGACTGTTCTTTTTATGCATGTTAAACTACCTGGGAGAGTGTACATTTTTGGAGTATGTTAGCATGCTGACATGAGCATTTAGCTCCAAACACTGCTCTGCCTAACTACAGCCTCACAAAGCTGCTAACGTGACTATTTAACCAGTATAGGCCCATTCACTGGAAGAGTTTTCTGATTGTCACATACACTATATATTTGAGAAATAATGCAATAAATCTTGCATATGGATGGAAAAAGAAGAGACTGATTACCTCACACCCCTCCCATGTTTAATTTAGTGAATATCAACTTGACTCAAACTCAAACATTTTAGAGTCTATAAATAATTTTATAATGATAACTGTGTAGTCCTGCTCTATATGAAAAAGTCATTCATATAGATTTCACTATACGCTGTACTGCGTATGATTGTGTGTGACTGTATGTAACTGGATTTGATGTCTACAACATATGAGATGAAATAACTTTTAAGTATTTGTGAAACAACTGAAACTTTAAATGTTTTGAACTGTACTCTGATTACTTGTCAGTTTTAATTTTCTGACTTGACAATTTAATGTCAGTACTATCTAGGTGTACTGAACATGATCATCAGACATCATATTATGATCTGAACGAGGCCTCACATATTCCTGTGTGTTGTTTGTAAAAAGAAACAAAAAGCTGCAACCCTTTAAAAACAAACACATTTCTATTTGGTGGAAGTTTTTTTTATTGTTTATAACATCAAAAAAATAAATAATATTACATTTTGCTCAATACATGTAAATTTAAGAAAGTTTTTAGACACATAACTCAAGAAAAGGTTAAATAAATAGGTTAATGAGTTGATGAATAAATAAATAAATATATGAATACATAAATAAATAAATAAACTTCAATAATAGCATATTAATGTATAAAGATACTGATTTCTATAGAGATGAAACGAGCTGGTCTGCTCTCTCTATCAGATGGGTTTTGATTTCTTTCCTGATCAGCTCCCAGGCTTCAGCACTGTGGCCCTACAGACAGAAGAATATTAGCATTATTAGAACATCAAAAATAAAATATCTCATATCTATAAGAACAAAATGATATAGGAATAAAATAGACTGACCATTTTCTTTAGGACGTGGTGTGAGAGTCTCTTGAAATGCATGTGCAGCTTTGTGTTCTTCTTCTTGTGGCCGTGGCTCCCAATCTAAATGAATTACAAGAAAATGAATATTTAGAAAACACAGTTTATTTCACCTGTAATGTGTTCAAAGAAATCTTCCTTACACAGTCACTGTGGAGCTGTTTAACTGGCACATGTATCAGTAATTCATTGGAAATGTATATGAATGTAATAGAAGCTGAAATCAGTTCAATAGTGTCATTAAAAGTTTCTACTCACACAGGAGCGAAGGTTGTCAGCCTGCCGGGTTACAACATTGACAAAGTCCTCAACTGTGTTCTCCTCCCATGATGCAGAGCTGTGATCCTCCTCAAACAGGGCAGCCGTCTCATTAAGAATCTGAACTGTGAAGGCAAGTTGATCCTCAGCCTGGAAGAAGGAGAAGAAGTAGAAGAAGATCAATTACAAATCAAACGTGAAACTTGTTTCAAAAACTGAAAAAAATACGACATAACATAATATAAACAGGTAACATAATACACCTCACTTTTGTATAGAAGTAGGAAAAAATCAATAATCACTTGTTATATTTTGCATTTCAGTTAGACAGAAGTTGAGGATGACTTACTGATGCGTTGGACGCCTGTCTGTACAGAAGATTAGGGAAGACCACAGTGTCCTCCACTTCAGCATCCTCAGTGGTGTTAGTGGAGTTATTAGCCGCATCACACACACAAACACACACAACATCATGTGTTGAAGTAGACGACAGTAAAGTAAACTCATTCAGTTAAGATAATTCAATGACTTTAAACAATAAGAAGTCCACTTACACTCCTATGGTAGAGTCAAAGAGTTTTCACTACTGTCTGAATTTATGATCCATGATCCATCTGCAGCTCAGCGAGGAGCCTGCACTGTACAGACTGAGAGACAGGCACACAAAGAAAATCCTGTTGAGCATTTTCAAAAAGGTAGAGATTGTCTTTGTATAGAGTAAATTCAGATGAGTCCTGTTGTGTTGGAGCAGACCTGCAGTGCCTCCTTTATACTGTAGGACGTACCTGTTTCTGTTTCGAGACATACACCTGGAAACACTGTGGCTTACGCGGTTCATCTCCTCTGTGTATCTCACATTTCGAGTTGATTTGAGTTACCGTCCTTATGATAATATATTTATGTCACAATAAGATAATGTTGCATATAAATATCGAAGCTAAAATACCGAAAGAGGCACCGTATTGACACATATAAAATCATATTAGCCTATAGAAACCCTATAAACGCGGTAGAAACAAACACGGTTCTTATTAAATATCACACATAGGAAACATTGGGGAATATTTTTGCAATTGTAAAGGAAACGAAGACACAAAATGAGTTTTCTTGAATTAAATCTGTGTCGCCAATTAAGTGTTTCATTAGGGTTGTTCAGTTCTGTTCAGGCGATCTGTGCGATGGACCTTATGTGTTTAAAAAATATTATTTTCTATTTGTTGGAATTGTTATCAGTAGTTTAATAACAAAAATCATGAATAAAAAGTGTAAAACTGTACATATGACTGCAGTGTGTTCACATACCAGACATACTAGAAATAGAAAGTGCTTCCCCAAATAGAAAGTGGAAGTGAATGCGGCGGCAGTGACGTTCTCAGATATGAAAATCACACCTCACGTAATGACGTTTCAGGTGTCTCGTTGCTATTTCATAATATAATCTACCTGTATGTTATTATTAAAAAGCATTTTGCATTTATTGTTCCTGTATGGTAAATGTATGTGCGTCTATGTGTATTTTATATAAAGCTCAGTATGTCTAGTGTGCGTGTTGTCCCTTTAAAAGCAGAATAAATATAAATAAATAAATAAATGATAGGAAAACAAACCAACATAATAAAAATAATAATAATGAGAGGTATGCAAACTAAAAATAAGCATATAAAGAAATATATGAATTATACAAGTCACAATTACAGCAATGTTATCTTGTTTTTATAATATAGGCTATTGATTTCATCACATCATGTTTTATGAGTGTTGATGCATAATACATGAGCACAGATTAAAGAAATTTGGAAAACATCAGTTTTCTATATAACATATATAACATGTAATCTTATGCCTAACATGAAATTTAGTGATAATAAGGTGAGGATGTTGTAGGTTGGAAGAGGAGAGTCATGTGCGCTAAAAATAAAAGTAGAAAGGGAATCTAATTATAAAGATATAATCCATTATTGTACTCTGGCGTCCCCTGTTGAACCAAGACAGAGTCCTAAATGTCACCTGTAATCACTGTATTTCCAGACTGTAGTTGCATTAGAAATGGATCTCCTCCAGGGAAAACCGATTGTCAGGATTTTAACATTTACTTAACTTCATCTTCATGCGTCTCATCATTTTTTAAAGCAAACACCAAATTAAGTAAACAAAACAAACTAACCCTTGTTATCGCAGTGTGGGGTTAATGGGGTAGGGTTACTGCACAGTTTAAAGGCTGTGGAGTGTGTGATTGAAACCTTTGTGAACTTTGTTGTCAGTCTAACAGGAACTGTCTCGAACAGGACAGGGAACATGAAGTCCTCACATGCCAGCACACAGAGCAACAACACCAGCACGCCTCAAATGCTGTGCTGCCTTTACGTGTTACTCGTAAACTACAACTACCTCCTCCAGCGCCACTGCTACTGCTGCTTCTACTTGGCGTTAGTTGAGGTAATGACGATGCGACTTGTGCTGATTTCTACGATTTACTGTGTAGAATATATGAGGCGCAGCTCTGTCAATTTCTCGAGTGTTTTTCCAATTGGATAAAACAAGAAACGCGCTTTAACGGCGGTATTTTCGCATGTGCGTTGTTAGATATTACGACGTTCAGGCTTATTTGTGCTTCAACAAACAAACAAAGAAGTCAGTATACGAGCACGCGTGCAACCGACACGCAAACAACGTGAAAACAACTGTTTATTGTCGTTTACGTGCGCGCCCTGTAACCTCGTCTCCCTTTTGACTGTACTTCCTCATGGACAGTGAATGCATCACTGGTGTAGCTACTTCCCATGATGCATCTCTCCTCAGCTAGAAATGACAAGCGAGCGTCTCACTCTCCTCTCGAGAAAACAAAATCCGACTTTACACTAATGATTCTGCGTTTTTTGCATGTTTGAACAGAAGCAATGGAGAGCGACTGTACGGATTAACTAGCCACTAACGCAACATTCCCGGTTTTGACGGTAATTTACACCGAATACGCGGTTGTCTGTGGAGCTCAGGGGCAACTTAACCAACCTGTTTCGGTAAGGAAGCTGTTAGCTTTTGGTCGCTAATGAAACATTCAGGGTAAATTGTCAATGTCATGCTGTTAATACGTCGTTTACACGGCTTGTATTTGGTTTTGCATGTATAATATAACGATGTTTTAATGTCCTTTGTCCTGTCGAGCACGCCCAAACCATAAGCCAACGTTAAATGAATGCAGGGCGATTGTAGTTGTATTATTTTAACCTTTAAACTGTCACAGCATGCAAACAAACTGCTTATTACACCACTTGTAAGGCTAATACTTTGCACCACACGCCTACCTATTGTTGTAGTGTAAGTAATACTACCGCTAATATAAATAATAGCTTTTATTTCTGTAGCACCTTTTTAAAATACAAGTGAACAAACATACATATATCCAGACGTACATACAAGCAGAAATACAAACACATAACATGCAATAAGCAGGTACAGCTCTTTTGTCTTTCTAATATTAGAGTTTGTGAGTAGCTGGGCACTGGAGGTATTTTATCTTGTATCTTATCTGGGTGTGATTGTGTCAGGGAAGCTCGGTGGCATAGTGGTTTTGATTGGGGAACTTGGATTTGAAGCCTCTGTAGCTACTTCCCTGCAGACAGCCTCTTTAATCAGCGGCCTCACATGACTCCGTTACAAAGTGGTTACTCAGGGAAACCATGAAATCACAGATATGTCACACAATGCAGTCTTGTGATGGAAAATGCACTGATTGCTCAGTGGCAAATGGGCTGCTAATATGCAGTGAGGAAGAGGTAGCGTCACATGTCTTGCTCTTCTTCCAGGACACACACACACACACACACACACACACACACGCGCGCTTGCACAACTTGTTTATCCATCTAAAGTGTCAAGGGTAGCAGGGGTCAGTACGGTTGTTAGTAGAGATGTTGGAGTGTTGAAAAGAGTCACATTTTGCATGTTACAGGAATAGTTTTTCTTCTGTTTCAGTGTGCCATGAGGGAGTAAACCGTCCCGGGAGGTGCCATGCTAGCCACACAGATGCCCGATACGCCACCCGAGGCTAAAGATGTCAAACAGGTAACACCACAAGCTTTTCCCTTTGTGCAGAGATCTTGTTTCGTTGTAGACTTCTGCCTGGTTGTTTCCCCCTTGGCTGTGACTGTGACGCCTCTGGTGAAGGAGTCAGATTGGCTTCTTTGGCTCCTGGGATGGATTTTTTTTACGAAACGTTGTCAGGTTGTGACATTTAAGTAGGATATGTTGTAACTGCACTCGGACGTGTTCGACAGTACGCCGCTGATCTTGATGAAGCGTTACTTACACTGTCATAGGCTTAACAGACAATCTGAAGGGACAAGACCAAATGCAGAATCAATGGCCAGCTGATCTTATCAATGCAAAGGGAGGACAAAGGTGATTGAGTGGTTTAGTTAATAGGTAGCAGAACATACTGTATGCGTCCATTTTTACTGTGGTGTATTGAACAGCATGGCTTTGCAGACATTGTACACTGCTGACTTGCTGAATTAATGTGTGTGAGTCAGGAAGCTGAGAAAGCAGGCAGGGATTTGGGCCTCTTGAAATCTTTTTAAGCTGTGTTGCTCAAGTCCTGCCAAGTCAAACACAGCAAAAAGGAGGGTGCTTCAGTGCTCACTGTTTGGAACAGCCAGACCAAGGCCTCTTCCAAGTGTTTAGCAACCTCCTGCATGAGGTGGGCATATGTTTATGTTCTCTCTCCACGTCAGCTGACAGTAAGTGTCATGTGACAGGCAATCTTGACGTTGTTCTTTCATAACATGGCCAGTGAACTCACTCTATTTCTCATCACACCGTAGATTGTAATGCAGAAAATTATAAATATGCCTCTTGTGTGTGTTGGTAAACCGAGAAGTCTTTGTCAGTTTGCCAACCGGCTTCAAATAGCCACACCTTAGTTGACTGGTATGCAAAAACAGATGAGGAAGCTCATAATATTTCCCTCTCCCGTGCATTGTCACGTGTCGCGTAGATCAAAGAGAAGTTGGCACAGTCGCTCAAGGCCCTGCAGAAGCGGTATGTAACATCCGACGCAGTGGTTACCAGCGAAGACGGCGATGCCAATCTCCTCTGCTGTGCCCTGGAGGCCATCTTCATCCACGGTATCAAGAGCAAGTACGTGCGCACGGAGGCTGGGGGCCGGAGCAGGAAGGGAGACCGAGGACCCCTCCCTCAGCCTTTCTTCTGGAGCCTCCTCAAGACCGTCACCCACCGGTAAAGGCACATTTATGCTATTATTAGAGCTGAAATAATTCATTGATGAATCGATCAGTCGATCGACAAACAATGAATTGGCAACTATTTGAATAATTGGTTAATTATTACATACACTTTTCTAGTAAAATGTCAAACATTCACTGATTCCTGCTTCTCTAATGTAAGGACTTATCATTGTGTAGTAAACCAGTAAACTGAATAATGGGCATTTTATAGACCAAGAACATCATCAGTTTAATTAATAATGAAAATGATTGTATTTGCAGCCTCAGACATCATTCAGTTATTCTGTGAAAAACACTCTCTGTTAAATCCCCAGTGATGTGATCACAGAGCTGGAGAAGATCAGCTTCGTGGGCACGGACGTGGGGCGCTGCCGGGCATGGCTCCGGCTGGCCCTCAACCACGGCCTGCTGGAGTGCTACCTCGCGTCGCTGTTTCGCGAGGACTCCAAGCTGCGCGCCCACTATCAGCCCAGTGCCTTGCTCCTGGACACCGAGGAGCGAGAAGTTCTGCTCAGCTACCTCCAGGGTCTGGCGTCTCTTACATTCAGCCTTTCTTACAAGTCAGCTGTCCTCAACGAATGGACCACCACGCCGCTGGCTCTCTCTGGACTTTGCCCCTTTCTCCAGGCAGAAGCAATCGAACTGCCCCTCAATGGCGGAGACCCTCCCACCTCCAAGTACAAAGAATCGTGGGACACAGTCTCTCAGTCGTCAAGCTCATCAGACGCACTGGATATGCAGAGAGGGTGCCCGGTGTTGCTGTCGGGGAGAGGGTCAGGGGTGTTACAAGGGGGTAGAACTGCACTCAGCTCATCTAACTTAAGCCTGGACACCACAGGCTCCTCTCAGCTCTCCTCCAGCTTGAGCTCTGACAGCTTCCTGCAGGGGCAGTACCCCCGCAGCCCGACAGGAGAGCAGTGGTCTTCATGTGACCTGGACATGCCCATCAGTGTTAGCACCAAGAGGCCACAGAAAGAGTAAGTGTATCTTCTAGCTGTGTGTATTGATTTGTTGGAGCACAAGAGCAGTTAGTTAGGATAAGGCTGGTGATGCCTGCAGATTCTCACCTTGTATTGGTGAATTAGATACTCACGATACGATTCTCTAACTCTTCTTTTAACTAACTGAGATTGAAAACTATTTATGACTGAAAAAGATTCCTATATTTCTCAGACAAACCTTTACAAAATATATGTTCTCTTCATCCTTCATCCACTTATAAAATCCTTTTTTATTTCTGAGGTTGGATATAAAGTGGACATATTTCCTTTTTTTGTTAAAGCGAAACTGAAGTCTTTGCAACTTGATACCACAATACATTCCTATTGGACAGTTAAGACAGGAAATGTGGGGAGAGAGATGGGGAAAATGCAACAAAGATCCCCAGCTAGAATTGAACTAGCGGCGTTGCAGTTCTGTGGCATGCACTGTAACCAGCGGCATTCCCTCTAGTTTTTCCTAGACAAAAACCAACAATACATTCATCCTGTTTTCTGTGTAGCTAATGCCTGATATATCTTCTCTGCTTCATAGAGCCCCATTGTTGTCTTAAAACTATTAGAAACACATGAATGAGCCAAACTGGTTGCACTGCGTGACATGTTCCTTCATTATCACGAACACACTACACACTGTAGTTTAGTTTCAGTTCTCGTATCGTGTACACTGTCCTGCTGCTGTAGATAACCACTAAAAATTGTTCCCAACAAATGCTACAAAAAACTACAGTGTCCAGCTTCAGTTGTATTTAAAATAATGAAACAGTATATCTATCTTTATAGATTTAGGTCTTCAGTAGGAATGAGCCTGAGAGCAACAGGGTTGGGAGTCAAAGTATTTATAGACAGACTAACACATTGTTGGATTTGGTCTTTTCATTGGATTTATTGAGAAAGAAATTGAATAATGCCCGCATGATCCTTTAAATTAAATAATAAAAAGTTATGTCATTACTTGTCCTTCACTCTGTAGTTCCCAGAATGATTTTCGGGAGAGCGGCCACTGCAGTCAGGACTCCATGCGTGAAGACTCCTTTGTCTCCAGCACGGGTCCAGATCAGTACTCGGAGACGGCCATTTTCAGTGGTTCTGACAGCGAGACCCAGGGTCCTCCTACACCATCCCAAGACCAACCCTCAAACTCTGTACTGTCTGACTCAGATCCACCACCGGCAGCCCTTGAGCTGCAATCATCTGAAGAGAACCATGTGAGCTGCTCTCCCTCTGAAGTGTGCATTAGTGCCTCTTCTGAGTTGCCCTTGAACATGGACATGCTCTCAACAGGCAGCGAGCCTGGGGAGTCTGTGGAGCCTGTAGAGGAAGAGCATTCGACTGGTGTTCAGGAGAGCACGAAGCCTGTCCAGGAAGAGAAACAAGCAGAGACCTCAGAGAAGAGCACCTCGGAGCCTTCGGTGCATCAAGGCCCACGTCGCTCCACCAGCGTCCTGAGCAGGAAGTTGTCCTCAGATTCTCTGTCAGTAAGTATATTTGCAGACGTATTGCTTTTAGTTTAAAATAACACACACCGATGAGCAAAAGCCACAGGTATTACAAGGCCTCTATCTGTGAAATCACATCATATGATTGGATTTAACTCCATGTCTCACACCCTCTCCTGTCGGGTATAAAAGTTGTGTTTCTCGACTAAAACTTAAAGACGGAAATTCTGAAACGTGACAGATGAAGAGGATTTTACAAAAAAAAGGGGAAATGCAGAATTGCGCTTGCTCCTGAATGACTTTTTGGCTATTCCCACTGAGGAAGTGACAAATAAGATGTGTGACTCTTAATACTGGAACCTATGGTGGAAAATCAACACAAGCAATTCAGTAATTCATGGAAAATCCTGGGTTCTAGTTATATTTTTTCCACCCAAGGAGATCACGAGTAGCCACGTTATCAGTCCAGCTGTGTTAGAAAAATCTTCTCTGCTGCAATAATGGTGACTGACAGAATACCAGGTTGATTAAGATTAAAATAAATCATAATACCGTAAAACAAAGTCTTACAAATTAAAACCCATATTCTGTGTTTTGTGTACATGTGATGTCCAAGCAGGGACGGCTCCAGGATATGTCATAATATTTCCTCTAATGATAGAACTTTCTGTAGTTGCCACACATTGGCAATTTTAATTAGTCAAGATGACAATGTTTTCTGTGGACAGAATCCTTCATATGTGCACAGGGCATTTATTGTACTGTATTGATCAAAGGCAAACTCAGTATAGAAAGATATGGCTGGCAGCAGAAGCGCTCTATGTGTGGTCACCTCAGGCGTGCGAGCTGCAGCGGTCACACACTGCTCAGGTAGGCGGCGAGGACGAACCGTTATAGTTCTCACACTGTTAACCCCAGAGACATGTGATAACAGGAACCACTCTTTCACAAACTGCGGCCTATTCATTGAATACACTTCACTGTTCTCTGCGGTCTGGCCCATTCATAAAAATCTGATCTAAAACTAATTTTTGTTGGAAAGCAGTGTAAGTCGGGCTGCAACTACTTATTATTTTGACTCTTCATTAATCTGACAATTGTTTATATTTATAAATTATTATATCCCTAACTTTGGAGGGTTATTTAGCCCCCTTCCCAAAAACCTAGCATGGCATGGTAGCCAATGGATGCCTTAGGTCTTCCAGTATGTTCACTCTAGCTTTTAAAAGGCCCAATCCCTCCGCACTCACACACTTGGAGGCACTGGCTGTCCCAGTGTCGACACTTTCTGTAAGTCAGCATTTGTGTGGACTTTGCCCAAGGCAATCATCCTGAAGCATTGAAATGACGTAAAACGAAGTTTACATGTAAGTGTATGATGATGTATTGACAAAAAGGAGTAAATTCATTATTTGGCCTTTACCTCAAATAAAGTAAAAACGTAAAACCCCACAATTGTAGGCTATTGCCATTGTCAAGGTAACATAATATAGTAATATGAGAATAAACTTTATTAACATAGCACTTTTCAAAACCAGACTGACAAAGTACTTTATATATTTATATATATTATAGTATATGGTTGAACCAGCATTATAACATTTCAGGAATTGAATCAGGAAATAAGAATAATACAGAAATAAAATGTAGTTAAACCCACAAGATACATTCTAATAGTAATAAAGATAAGACATGTTGGCGATAAAACAGTGTGCTAGAATGAATAAAACGCTTTTAACAAGTGTTTCAAAAGATGTCACTGATACAGCTGCTGTCCTATTCCTATTTATACCATTTCCTTGCAGCCTTTCACACTCAAGCACTTACCAGATAACATCAGCTAAGTCTGTGAGGGTTCAGTGCTTAAGCTTTAGTGTGGAGATTGGGCCAAACTGAGCCGGCTAAAGCCTTTGAAAGACAGTAATGTCGGCCGAGGACATAGGCGTCCTAGCAGAGTATAAGAGGTCATTGATTATCAGAGGTGTTGCATGCTAATTTATCAGTTGACTAATTGTTGCAGCCCTAAATAGAAGGTATCTGTTGATTTCATTGCCTTTCTGTATGGTGTGCTTTCAGACATGCACCCATTTATGTTCATCTACTATCAATTTAGCAGCCAACTTTAAGTTGTTGTGGAGATTCTTCTCATATAGGATTAGTCTAGAAAAACATTTTTCCCCTTCACCGTGTAACCGGGGAAATAGAAATTTAAAAAAAATTGTGTCATTTACTTTGCAGAATTCTCGTTGCTGGATCTCTGAGGACGACATCTACAAGCCCCATCTGGAGGAGGTGACGGACCATGACGAGGCGCCTCCTTCTGCTCCCACAGCTGAGCTCAAGGTCTCTCCGTCACCTCCCAGTGTCGTCCATCGCAGACAAATAGGTATTCTCCTCCTTCTCTCTCCTAACTGAAGAAAATCACACAGTACAGTTCATCTTTATCCTACGAATCCATCTCATCTAGAGCTGAAACACTCAATTAAACATAAGTCATCAGAAAAAACTATTTTGATGATTGATTTATTTGTTTTAATAATTTTTCAAGCAGAAATAGTAAAATAAATCTTCTGAAATGAGAAGATTCTTGCTTTTCTTTGTCATCAATCATTCATCATTGTGAACCAAACTTCTAGACTGCTTTCAAATGTCATAGACTAAAGGTGTAAAGGAAACAAAGCTCATTTACTTTCAGTATATTCTTGAAGTTTCTTTCCTTCCTAAAACATTTGCAACACAGGTTTTTCTTTAGAGTTTTGCTTCTTGGTGTGTTACTGCCACCTGTAGTTCAATTGAACGGTGTAAAACTGACGGCACGGTTTTCCCACTCATTAAAACATTGCGTCATAGAACTACCAAAGGTCAAAAACTCCACAGTGTACTTTCAATGTGAACACACCTGGTCAGTAAAGGTGTTGAGTTGATATTGTGAAAGGTAAATATTAACTGTTCATACAGGGCTGTAAATTCCTGACAAACTAGAAACTGTGGAATGAGATAATCAAAATATTGCAACTCGAGCCACACCCCCAAACAGTGATGTAACGCAGGTGTTTTCTATCATTTTGTTACATCATTAATGGGACGTGACCAGATTGCACTGGAATGTAATCCTATTTCAAGACGTCACCTGACTTAGACGGCTTATGGAGAGGTGTAAAGAGAGACCTTCGTGACGGTTCATTATTACAAGGAAGTGCTTGGACTGACAAACTGAGCATTTGTTGTTATCAATGGGGGCAGTGTTCCAGGAACAACCACTGTATAATCTCACAACACCATCAGGTTTCATAATTTAACCCTCAAGAACAGGTCACCCAAAGGCACAGTGTTTATTAGAGAATAGAGGGCATGAAAACAACCACTGCTGATTAAGTTAGTGCTATTTTATGTCAGTCGATATTACATTTATTTATTTGTGAAAGTAAAGATCATCTTAACCCTCATCTTTTGGTTTTGTCACAGTTATCACAGAGACATTTATTTAGAACATTTGAATGATTACATTACCAAAACTGATATAAATAGTTGATTCTGGGCTCAATCAGTAGAAAATTATGATAAGCTTATCTTTTCACTGCTGTTTCCTTTAAATGTTGTTCATATCGTTTTCATGTTTTTCTTTTGACTAACATAAGTTGACAAAATAAAATTTGTCTTAGCTGTCAACCAGTTTCCACAATGTGAAAAGAGATCAGATCAAATTACACTTTTCCTTAACTTTCCATTACTGTCCATCTGTCTGTCTGTCAGGGCTGTCCAACCCGTTTCGCGGCTTGCTGAAGCTCGGTCATCTAGAACGACGAAGTGCAATGGGATTGTGGCGCGACTACTACTGTGAGCTGTCACCCTTCGAGTTCCGCCAGTATCTGAACGCAGAGGAGCGGACGTGTTATGACAACTGCTCCCTGGTGCGATGCGAAGACGCTCGCATCTCCTCCACCGAGGGCCGCTTCGAGCTGGCCTTCCCCGGGAAGCGACTGTACCTCCGGGCAGCCAATCGCGACGAAGCTGAGGACTGGGTGGATCGGATAGTGGAGGCCGTCAACAAATGCCGACCAGCATCTCGTGTTGATGAGCAGTGGGAGGTGCTGCAACCCTCCAGTGAGAATGGTGTGGATGTGTCGTCCCTGTCCTCCACTCCTTCCAGTCCCGAACGAGGTTTATCATCGTCTGACTCTGGGACATACGGGGTACAGGAGGCTCCTCCTCTACAGGACTTTGACTGGACCCGGACTGCTGATTTAGAAACGGATGCCATCAAAGAAGCTGTTTTGTACTTCTCCGTAGATCCTGAGGCTCGGACATGGGTACCTCTGGTCTTCTCCCTGTCCTTAGAGACCTTGAAAGGCTTTCGTGTACAGGAGGGAAGGAAGCTGTTGAGGCAAAACCACGCTATTGAGGAAATCCGGGACGTGGTGCCTGACGTCTCTCAGGGAGGACCGGCCTTTTTCAAAATCCTGACCGTCAGGGAGACGCTTAGACTCAGGGCAGAGAACGCAGATGAGGCTCGCTCTTGGAGGAATTTGATCCGTGGAGCTCTGGACTCCTACCTGGAGAGCGGGGAGGATGGGAGCTCTGGGGATACAGCTGTAGCACGCCTCGGGGGGGCTGGAAATCTCCACAGACTGGTGCAGCACAGACTAAAAGAAGACGGTGCGCTTCTAGTTCATCTGTGCACTGTGCCTTCGGAGAAAGGGCTGGACACACAGAGCTTTAAATGTGCAGGTAATATCTATTATCCGTAGAGCATCTGATCCATTTTCTGTACCTCCCAATCACAAAAACAATAAACCAAAACCATTTAACTCTGTAGCGTACTTACCTGTGGTAGAAGCACAAAAATCAAGATAAAATGGCCGATGAGGTATGAAGCCATTCCACTGTAGACTTTATAGTCTGTGTTGCCCTCATCTGTCAATCCTCCATCTCATTCAAATGTAGCATTTAAATTGAGTTTCTTTCTCTTTTCTGCACAATTGCAGTAGCAAAGTAGTAGCGAAGCAAACTCTTTTCTTGTCAGTTTCTGTTTAAGCTCAGAAAAAAGGAACTCTAATTATAGTCCACCTATTGTCCAGTTACTCTGTTCAGTATGTCCTCCTTTCTGACTGCCACGATGTAAAAATCTGTGTATCCTGGTGGAAACAGTCGTTATGTGTCCAATCTTTCTAGGTTATTTTTTATTCTAGGTATTTGTGAGCCTGAGAGAAACTGAGGTTTGTTTACTGTGTGTCATACGCAGGGTGTCCTCAGCAGATTGGCCCGTCCCGTGGCAGAGCCAGGCTGTGTGAGTTCTCGGGCCAGTACTACTGTGACTCCTGTCACCACGGAGACACCACCATCATCCCCTCGCGCATGGTACACAACTGGGACCTCACACAACGCGAGGTAGGTGCAGCATATGCAGATCAAGTTTTAACTACGTACAGATACCAACGCTGCTATCAGGTATCAAGGTGATACTTGGGCGAAACTGTGTCGAAACAAGTGATACCAAAAGCCTCGTTTTGCATATCTGATCATTTAAAGGGGGACTGCCTCAAGGGATGTCACCTGAGTCAGCGTCGGTTGGGTCTTTGGATGTTTAGTTAGAAAGGAATGTGGTTACCAGACCTCTATAGCCCTCTCTGCTCGAGGCTAGCAGCATGAGGTTACATTAGCTGCTACTAGCATAACACACCGCAGTCTCAGAACAAACTCTCCGCAGTCAAGTTGGTTCTGCTGCATCGATTTTCGACTAATTTGGATACTCAATACAGGAGTTCTTTCCAGTAACACTTGTGTGTGACGTGTATGTTTGTGTGTGTGCAGGTGTCTAAGAAGGCCCTGCGGCTGCTGGCTCAGGTGGCACATGAGCCTCTGCTGAATCTGGAGCAGTTGAACCCAGAGTTGGTGAAGCATGCAGAGTCCATGGCTCAGGCCCACAGCCTGCGGCAGAAGCTACGCCTGCTGGGCGACTACCTGCTCACCTGTCGCAGCGGAGCCTGCAAGAAACTCCAAGCCAGGTGTGTGTAGAAGTGTGTGTTTTACATTTTACCATAATTTATTACAGCATTTTATTATATACCTCTTTTTTTTTTTAACTCTCTACCAGAATGGAGCAACGAACGTACCTGTTGGAGTCGAGCCACCTGTACAGCGTCATGGACCTGCGACAGGTATCCTGCGGTGTGGATTATCTTATTGCACCAGTCATCTGCCACCTTGAAATATCTTAATGTGTGTGTGTTTGTTATTTCTAGATAGCAGAGGGCGAATACGCAACCTACCTGTTGACGCTATCGCAGCACGCCTCCAACCACGTGTTCCACTGCGACCTGTGCACTCAGCGTGGCTTCATTTGTCAGATATGCCACGCCAATGACATCATCTTCCCCTTCCAGTTTGACAGCACCACCAGGTATGGTATTCTAGGCCACTACCCTCCCTTTTTCCTCAGCCCCTTTCTTCCCTTTCCCTTTCTCTCATCCCCACCGGTGTTGCGAGTGTCGTTAAAGTAAAGTTTTAAGATGGTAGACTCACAGCACAACCGAGTGTATGCCCTGGATTTTCCAGTTTATGATCTGACGTCATACGTCCTTACGATGGGCCGAGACCGTTCAGTTAAAATTAAAGTAAGTCTAGTAAAGTGTAGCTTACAGGTAGGAACACTACTCATTGCTGCCCCCTGGTGGTCGGGAGTTTTAAGATATTACCCCACAGCAACACTAAAATATTTGTTGTTTCAAGACAAGATTCAACCCAAACCCCAACAGTTTATGAAAGGACACTTTGACACAGCAGCTCTGTGATTGGTCTGAAACATCTCTGGTTGTGTTTCCTTTTGGAAAATGGGCATCTTTCTGCCGCTTCTTTGTCTGTTCTTCCAGCTTGCAGTTTGGTTGCCACCATTTCCAGTTTCTCTTGGTTAATTTTGTGCTAATGACAATAATAAGCCCCAGACACTATACACTAATGTGTGTGTGTTAACATTTTCAGTTCTGTTGCTATGTTAGTGAAGTTTGACTTTGCCTTTTGTGTACTGAGAAACTACAGTTTGATTTGATTATAGTTAGGGCTTAGTATTACAAAAATAGGATTTATATAAGGATTAAGCAAACAAATGTTCATTGTTACAGAGAAGTTTTTTCATCCATCATAATTAAATGAAAAACATGTTTTTAAGGCACAGTTATTTAGTTTGTCTTTAATAACTAATTTAATTGTCATTCCATTCACAACACAGAAAAGATACACAGAGATAAATGTTCTATTTTTATGTTCTCTTGGGTAGTTATGTAACATAAGAACTATTAACTATATATTAAATATATTAGAAAAAAAATAAACCAGATGTAAAGTAAATAACAAGAGTAGAGAGTTGTCCATTATTAGTTTTTGTTCCAGATGCGGAACTTGTATTTCTTTCTGAATTTCCTTCACATTGAGTTTTGATTGCTTTCTTTTTTTGTCTCTGACCAGGTGCAAAGACTGTAAAGCCGTGTTTCACCTGGCCTGCAAGGCTCCGGGGATCTCGTGTCCTCGCTGTCAGCGAATGAGGAAATACCTTGAGAGGGATCTGCATTTCTGAGCGCAGCTCATCTAACAGGCCACCCCCCTTTTCAGAAACATGGAAGACAGCCGATGGAGAGAAAAATAATAAAATCTAGCTTTTACAATGAAGTAACCTCAAGTGCAATTATGAGTGCGATTTGCCTGCCCTAACTGACCTTAAAACTGAAGAGGAAGGTGCTGCAGTAGCTTGACTCTCTTGCACTAATGTAGAGGCACATTGAGCCTCATATTGCTGACATAAAGCAGCCAAATGTTACCGACCAGTGACATTAATACCTCTCTGTACTCGGATTCAGCCACGGCATCAAACAAAGGACTCGACGGCTGCGAAAGGTTGCTGCCAAGACATTTTTACATCATTGGTTTTTACTGTTTGTTTGTCTTATTGTGTCGAGTACAACGTTCTTAACCATCATGTTTACCAGAAATGCTCCGTAGCACACTCATCATATGTCACATATTTAAACATAACACAGCAGTGGGGTTGGGTACTGTACATGCTAAATATCTAAAACAGCACTTGAAATGTTCTAACAGATTTTGATTGTGCCTTCTTATTAATTTAAGCTTTATACTGTCTTCCTCTTGTCTTTCTTTTAGGGCCAAAAATCATTACATAGGCTGTTTTTTTTCCATAACTGTGAGATGAAATTACATTGCTGCATTAGATACTGATTTGTGTAAAGGTAGAAATCAGTCACCAAGAAGACTTTGTGGAATGTTTCTCTCTTAAAGTTTATAAATCTTAATAATAGGCGTTGAGATGTGTGATTTAAAATCCAGCTCTGTAGTAGTGATGGGAATTCCAGCTCTTTCTAGAGAACCGGCTCCTTTGGCTCGGCTCACTAAAAAGAACCGGCTCTTTCGGCTCCCAAGTGGCTCCTCAGATTTTTTGTTGCTTAAA